CTAAAAATGGTCCATGTGAAAATAAATAAGTGGCCCTATTTCTCACGGAAATCTGTTGCCTTTTGCGGTCCCTTGGAAGTTAAAAAAATCGCAGCGCTGGCGTTCGTTGAGTGCTTGATGAACGCAATGGAACACAGCAGCTCACACTGACCATTTCGGACGGTAATCGGGAATTTTTTTCTTTTTTTCGTGTCAGGTCAATACACACGCCATATTGTATACATTACACATAACGCGTCACTTCGACGCGTTCCTGCAACATCCCCACCTTTCACCCACAATGCACCGCAGTAACCACTGCATTACGTCATTATGTTGTAGGTCCATTGTGGAGGTAGTCCACAGGAAATCCGTGTATTATATCAAATACTGTAATAACAACATCAAAATTGAGGGCCCTTTCACTCCATTTACAGGCCCCTGGACACGAACAGCTTCTTCAGCACTTTGCGCAGTGTTCGCCACATTCCTTTCTCGTGCAGATTCACTGACGTGTGGATATACCTGAACCTGACCTGTACCCTTTTCTACACGTTCACCTTCTTGTAAGCACCACGAACAACCAAATTTTCCACCATTGTACAGTTTCGGATTTCGCAACGCACACCTTTCTACAGAGTCGCACGTACAAACGAGTGTGAAAACTTTAGACGTCTTTTGTGTGCCTGAATCCTGATCTTTCCAAGTGAGATCATTCTTTTGCCAAATCATTACACTCGTCAACAAATGGTTTGAGGAATACCATAGGATCTGGCTTGCCTCCTCCAAACCACAGACCACACAACAATAAGTTGGACGCGCCACGATTTACAGGTTCTCATTGGACAAGCGCTGAAATTACGCGTTGACTTCTGGTTCCATGGTTCCATGTAAACGGCGATAAATGCATGAACATGTAACCCTATGTGCAGTGCACGTGTGCAGTGGGCGTGGTTTCAACTGAAGTGACGTCACACTTACGAACCTGAATAGGACATCACGTCCAAAACGCGTCCCGCGAGTGCATATTTTCAGGAGGGTAAGTAACAAGCATTGCGAATTTTGTTGCGTGCACTTTCAGACGCAAATTTCAAAACTGCTGGTTGAGGTTGTTGTACTTCAATCGTAAGCTTTCGAAGAAAAACTGAATTCTGCCCCCGGAATGGATAAATTTAAAAAGAATAATGGTTGAGCTGTGCACAGCAGAGAATTGCCGGAGATCGATGGTAAAATGATGTTTGGAAGAAGGAGCAACCTTGACACGTGAGTCGCACATTCAGAAGGTTTCTGCACACCTTGTGCTATAATGCTTTGGACCGTCCGTGGAAGCACATTGGTTTTAACAACATGAAAATAACTTCACTTTCACTGACAGTGCTGACAAAATAATCACATACTTCTTTGGCAAGACTCTTCTGTCATTACTGTAACTGTAACTGATGTGTGCTCGAACAGGAAAGCTGTAAAAACTGGGTTTTATTCAACGGAAACCTGACACTGTAAAACATAATGATGCTCATATATCATAAGCATTTGCATGGACTGGATTTTTCAGCAATCTGTGCTCTGTGGCGTACAATCTCTTCTCGGCCTGAGCTTTTTTTGTCAGATAGCTCTTTCGGATCCCTTTTCCACGGGTATGGGATGATCCACTGGTGTCCAAGTCGGGTACAGGATTCTTCTATCATTCTGGCATCTCTTTGTTCAGCTGGGCTCAACTTCTCTGGTTTGCAATTACAGGTTTTAAGAGCTACACCCATCACCTCAGTCGGCCAGAATTCCGTCATGTTGACTGGAGTAGCAAACTTGACATGTAGAACTTGGCTTGTCGTGGTTGGTTCCCCTGGGCTCCTTCCAAAGATTACCCATCCGAGTGGGGACCGGCGGGCCATCAGATTCTGGTCTTCTCGCGTCTCGCCAGCATGCATCGGTACATGATCAATGCCAATCAATAAATCAACTGGACCACTTCCTCGACGAAGGTGACTTGAAAGTATTTTGAACTGCTTGGCTATTTTCTCCATGTCAACCTCGGGGAACTCGTCACTTATGTAGGGGATTTCGATGGCATTAACTGTGTAAGTTTGGCCTTTGTCTGTCTAGCGGATACGAACTTGTTAGGCTTTTTGTTCCTACCTCCTCTTTTTCCTTCAACTTTAGTGGTGGTTGATACCACATCTCTTCCTTTAAGCTGAAGGTCTTCAGCAAGGGACTTCCTGATCAATGTGATCTGGGCTCCTGAGTCCAGGAGGACATTTACTGGGCGACTAGTCTGAACTCCCAAAGCATTCACTTGCAGTATTGGCAGCAGGGTTACAGTATACACAGAGCTTACTGCTACGCCAACTGCACTGGGAAGTTGATGGGGAGTGATGTGGAGTAGCCAGTTGTGGAACAGCTTGCACTGCAGTCCATTCATAATTTCTGAACATTGTCGCCGTCTCTTGCAGGAACTGACATTATGATCTTTGCCAGCGGTCTTAAGACAGCTGAAGCAGGCATAATTTTCTCTGGCCATCCTTAGTCGATCTTCTGGGCTTATCGATATCCCTTTCATCTTCTCACACTGGTCTGGCCAATGAGCGGACATGTTTCAAACCCAGCACTTCTCACTGACTCAGGTTTTTCCTCTCAGTGCATATGATTAACACTGGAACGGTTACCTTGGGTTACATATCGGACGGGGGCGGTCGCTCTCATTCTGGATTTCATCTCAGATGCCATCAAGCAGAGTAGGTATTCAGTATTGCCTGTTGTTTTTCTGCTTCTAGATATCTAGCCCAGACCTTCCTGTCATCCGAATTCATTTTCTGTTCAGTGATAGCCAGCAGATGATTATTATTCATGTCGTTGGGTCGACCCACTTCCTTCAGCGTGTTGTAACTTCTACGAGCCAGATGGACTAGCTTGTAGGATCGTGAATCTTCCCCATCTCCCAAGGGTTTAAACTTCATGATGTCTTGAGTGACTGTATCAGCAATCAGTTGGGGGTCTCCATAGGTGGAATCCTGGTACTCCCAGGTCGCATCATAATCTGAACCAATGCCCTTAATGAGCTGGAGCAGTTTTCCCTGGAGACATGTGCGTAAGAGGATAATGGCGTCCCTCTTGCTATAAGGGGCATCTATCATATGCTTAAAATCAGCTCGGAATATAAAGAATTCCCGAACTTCTCCAGCAAATTTGGGCATCTTTGGCTTCTCCATCTTAAAGCCGCATGGTGTAGACTGACTCCCATCGGTGACTGGGGTCTTGCAGTCAGTGGTCGTAACATCAGAGGTGGCTGGAACATCTGGTTCTGTCTCTCCGCTGATTGGGTTGTCATCTGGAACAGTATAGGCGCTTAGGCATGCCATCCTCTAATACCTCAGATATTGGTTCTTGGCTATTGGCGGTCGAAGATGGCTCTGTGGATTTGACGTAGTCTGCTGCTCTACATCTCATGTTGATGAACGATTGTTGACAATCTGCCAACCATGCCTCTTCATTCTCGAATTCTTTGTCATCATCAATCTGCTCTGTGTAATTCTCATGACTTTGCACCAGTTTATCGAACGTGATTTGCAAAGATTTTAGGTGATCAGTTGTCTCAGACACTGACCTTTCTCCGTCAATCAGTAGGTCCAGAGCCTTTCCTTGGCATGTCAGGGCTGCCTTCAGCCTGCCTCTGCACTTCTTCTTGAGCTCCTTTACTGTAGTATCGTCATGCATCATGGCATATGCTGCAATTCGCTGCAATCCCAGGTTAGCCAAACAATTGAATGGTGTGGACCGTTGGGAAGTGCAACCAATGAATGAAATCCTGCTATCGGATCACTGTATCTTTATTGGATCTAAAAGTAATAATAATTACCGCTAATGGGTCATTAGGGAGACATTCCCATAGGAACGTGCACAAAATTTTTCCAACTTTACTGTCCCATAATTCAATATTCCCTGATCTGATCTGAACCAAACTTTGTATGTTTTCATTTTAGGCCCTAAACTATCATCTCTCAAAATATTGACGGTAAAATTCGGCCTCCTTCTGGTAGTTTGAAAAAAGGGAGACACTGAAAAGTCTCCCTAAGAGCCAGTGTCTCCCTAATGCTGAAATATTTACCACAAATGTCTCCCAAATGACCTATATGTAAATATAAAACAAACATGCAGAATAACTATCAGTGTTCACGATTAACTAAACTGAGTGGCATAATTAGTAATTGTAACTTGCTGAAAACTATTTGAAAGATTTCGAAACTTAACTTACAAATATTTCATTAAATTCTCTGAATGGTGATTTCTGGTCCAAAATTAATGATTGTGTCTCATGTATCTGGGTTTTCTAGGCTTGTTAGCTGCGCTGTACGGCCGTGGGCCGTCGCGCTCACCATGCAGCTCACATAAGGCGCCTTCATTTGGGATATTGGGCAACTCGACCGTTTGCCAAGGCGTCCGTTAGGACAACTCGACTTTGACAGAGCGACAACTCGACCCAAGTGAGATTTTTGCACATAATACAGTCTTTTTCCCGTTCCGGATCGTGAAAATTATTCAGTCAGATTGCAGGTACAAAAAGTGAAAATGATCAGTCGTCCACCTTGTGTGTTAGAGACGTACCCTACCAAATTAATTTCAAATTTTAAAACTTGGGTCGAGTTGTCGCTCTGTCAAAGTCGAGTTGTCCTAACGGACGCCAAACGGTCGAGTTGCCCAATATCCCAAATGAAGGCGCCTTATGTGAGCTGCATGGTGAGCGCGACGGCCCACGGCCGTACAACGCAGCTAACAATCTAGCCATCTGTGTACAGCTAGCTGGTTAGCCTTTGATCAAGGCGGCCTCGGCGAAAAGGATAGTTGCTCAAGAGCGAGGAGCTGGAGGAGACTAGTTTATGCACCAAACCAACGCACGAAGAAAGACTACACGGCTTGCATGCAGTGTGTCGTGTGGTCTTGACTATACGTTTTGCTGCGGGCTCCTTGATCAAAGGCTACCTAACTAGCTGGCTGAAGGGAAGACTGACTGCGAAGACCAACGTAAGTCCGACTTGATTCAAGTCCAATAATAGGCCTAGTAAAAAACCACTGAGTAGGAGAGATCAGTGGTTAAAAACTCGCGCGTTGTTTATGACGGGCCACGTCGTAGTCTTTATCAAGTCGGATTTTCCCCCGAGAGTGTTGTTTGAAGTAACAATTTCCCCTCGAACCGAGACTAGGTCATCCTGCGCCGTTGCTACACACGCCGCGTACTTGCTAAAAACAGTAATGGCAGCCGAGAGTTCTGAGCGATGCCTAACCCTGCAAGTTTTCCACTATAGGAATCGTAAGCTAGGTTTTGATTTTCAACCAAAAATTAGGCCTAGGCGTGTGTGATTTAGGAAACTGTTCAAACATGGACATTAATGGACACCGTATGTACGTAAGACTGGTCTGAAGTCGACTGAAAAATCCAAGGCGGCAGGCATGGCAGGGGAGTAGGGCCTATCCATGTACATGATGTAGGCCTAATGTGCGTGACGTGACGGTCATCCTGGTCATTATTATTATTTATTATTCTTATATATTTTTGGTAATGACACTAAGGATTCCTCAAAAGCGCCCTAGGCACTGTAGCTCGCAAGCCTGAAGAAACCTGTAGAAAGGGAGACAATGAGAAGCAGTTACAGTTTTTTTTAGAGGTGGGAGGAAAACCCCCGAGTAGAGGAATACTCTGGGTAAAACCCACAGAATCAGGCACAAGGTAGGCCTAGGGACTGAAAACCCAATCCACATTTAGACCGGGCTGGGATTCGAACCTGAGCCGTTCAGGTGGAAGGCGAGGAAAGAACCACTACACCATCCTGACTTCTCAATGACGGTGTAAGCCTACCATGTTTTATACCTCCGTGGATCTAGTACTAGTAGGCCCTAGTACAGGTAGTAGTATAGGCCTAGTTGCCATGTCCCCAATTTTGCACTTTCACTGGTCGAGTTCGGGCAGCCTGTTCTTGACACAGGTTTCTTGTTCTCGCACTCGAACCGCAGGAACACTACAGCATGCTGTTGTTTTGCCCTTGCCCTCAGTGGTGTAATGGGGGACATGTACGTTCCTCCTAGCAGATGCCCTTGCCCCTGGATGCCCATGCCCCTGGATGACCAGACATTTAGTCCAAGGCCGAACTGTTAGTTACACCACTGCTTGTCCTCTATAATAGTGGATTTTTTCCTTAACTTGACACCCACCCATTCTGATAGAAACTTGTGTGTACTATTGTATGTTATGAACAAGGTATGTATCAATGCTATGTAGGCCTATTATGATCAAACTTGTCAATGACAAGCCACCATAAGTGGCCTTGCCTTGCATTTTTATTCTTGACGACATGTACATGTACATTGCATTTGTCATGTTTGTGAATTTTAGTGTTAAATCTTGATGCCATTCTTTGAAACGGATCATTTCTTTTTTAATTTGTAGTTTTAATGTCTGATCATTCAACTTCAGATTTCAGACTAAAGCCAACAGCGTGCCACGTTGCAGTGCATGAGTTGGTCTACGTACGAGTTGGTCAATGTAGGAGTTTGCCATCGTACAAGTTGGCCGGCGCACAAGTTGACCTGCTCCCGCCAGGACACATTGTGGCTTTCTGAGGGCTGATAAACCAAAAATTAGCGTGATGCCTGTAATTTATTTCTAGTAACAAGATGGAGATTGGTTATAGGCCTACATTTACATGCACATGGATGCTTTTTCCTGTTTGAAAATCAACCCGAAAGATTCTTGTCTGTATTTTGGACATTGTGTCAGAAATTGACTGACTTTGTAGCCTGGGGACCAGGCTACGTGTGGGTACAGAGTAGGGACCCTAACCATGCACTTTAACAATGCCTACTTTTCTCGTGTAATTTTGCCAAACTTCTTTGATGAAAACTTGTTAACCCCTTTACGACAGGATTTTTTTTCCGAAAGCCAACTCCAAGAATTCCAGCCTCACTTGGCCATGAAGGCCACCTGCCAAACCACAAATTCTTGGTTTGTGGCCCTGTGTGCTCTGCATGCTTTGAATTACACAAGCTAGTGATTATGATGCAAATTCGGTCTTTTCATTTCTGGGTTACACACAAAGGCCAATCACCATATATATAAGAGCCAGGGTCTGCCTTATTTCACTGTGCTCGCTCGAGCGTAGGCCGAGAATAATAGCTGAAAAGCGGCCTGAGGATCTCAATTTTTACAATGGCTCTTACCATCTCCTGACGCGAAGGGGTTACTTACTAAAAAATAAGTAATGTGTATACGGAATTCTTCTCTGTGCCCATATACATGTACGGACGCCACTAATTAGCCTTCTTGAAGTAATAAAATATCCTAAAAAGTCAAATCTAAGTGTAACTGAAACTATTGAGGTGTTCGCTTAGAAAAGACAGTATTACAGACAGCCTTATAGGATTTGTGCACCTCGGCGTCAAGTGATGGAACTCTTTCCCTCTGATACCATATACATTGTATATTTCACATGTACCCAACTACAACTTTTCAAAGTCCACCTCTGGATGTTAATGCTGAGGTCGGCTTAAAGGTGTATCTATAGTATCCGTGGGGAAAGAGCTACATGTGATTGGTAGAGATGTGTGCCCTGAAGTCAACCGATTGAGCAGTGATGACATATTCTGTAGGGAGGGCATTCTAGAGCCGTACTGCTGTGGGCACTATGGAGAACTTGCAGAGGCTATGTCGTTGGAGGAATGGGTAGTTAGAAGCTTCACATCTAAATAGTACTACTCCCATTTTAGGAAATTCAAAGAAATAAATTGGTAGCATTGTTCTCTGGATTGGTCATTGACACCTGCTTCTTCCACAATGTGAAGAAACTTGCTCGATGCGTGCATTGCATGGATCTTAAGTATCCACCTTTCTTGTTTTTCAGCTTTCTTTTAAAGGAAGTTGTCCAAGTGGGAGTTTCTCACAAATTAACCTGTGTTCCGCCAAGCTGAGGATACTAAATGGCATCATTGAAGGGAGTAAATCCTGAGGTTCGGAAGTACCTCCGTCGTCACAAAGTACCAGACGTGTACGAGGTAAGGCAATGAGACGGAATTCTGCAAACAACATTCCCTAGAAATTAAACAGAATCGGGCCAAGTCGATCAGCCCGCAGCCATGAATATTCTCCAAAAATGTCTAAAAATCATGAACAACATTCTGGCAAACCCTAGTAAAGCCCATGTTTCCCTAACTCTCACACAAAGGGGAGGGGAAGAGTACCCCATCCACATTTTCTCCCGTGCTCAAATCTTTCCCAAATATGGCATGTATGTCAAGTCACTAGCTTGTGAAAGCTTCCATCGGTGAAGTGTCAATGCAGTCTGAGATGGAATTTGTCGTTGTTGAGGTCATTTGTAGTTCACACCCTCATGTGTATTGGGCAGTGTTCATTTTGCATTGAGCACGAACCATTGTGTATGCCAAAGTGGTATAGATGCTTCAGAATTATCCATCAAGAAATCTTCAAGGGTTTTGTAGTTGTATGGCGTAAGATCGGGATCCTGCACAGTTAATTTCAGAGGATTCTAAAATGATAGTGATGTCTCGGAGTTAACAGTTAATTTCAGGCAGATAAATTGCACAAATCATGTAAGAGATGAGTAGAAATTATGTTTCCAACGATTCCACCCACCTGGATTGGAACAACACCTGGTTATGAAGGCATGGCTCCTATACTGAGGTCACACATTCCAACAAAATGCTGACAGCTGTTCAGATCGCCATGCCAGAACAGTTTTAAAGAGGAACCTTCACCTTTCGTTCCACCCCAGGCCATCTTGACTGGGCTGGCTGTGCTGTGCCCAGAGGACCCCATGGCGTACATCATCGACAAGATGAAGGAGCTGATGAGAATGAGGTTGGAGTCGGTCCACGGATTGGACGCGCTCAAATGGTAAGTGGCTGGACCATTCGTTGTCGCTGCTTGCGTTGTACAATTTGTGTCTAGGAATCCATAGTCCACAGCATAATTTGAGCTTAACAGTAGTTGGGCAAGTTCAAATGACGACTGTAGTTAAGTAAGGTTCGAATAACTCCGCTTGAACAATGGATAGTTTGGACTATCTAGTCGACCATTTGGGAATAGGCCCAGGGGTATGGTCACACCACTGGTTATCGATAGCCGATTTCATCTGTTATTACAGAGGGAACCATTCACATGAAAATGACTGTACAAAGATTTCAATGACCATGTATGTTGCAAGAATCGCAGCCAACACTGAAATGTGAGTAAGGATGAGATTTGACCAAAGTGACTAGGGTTGTTGGAGTGTAACTGAATTATGCATGTGCATCGTCAAAAAGGCAATTGACTACTACTCAAACTATAGTCCGTGCCCAAACTTGCCCCTTGAGCGGTCTCCATTCATTTGCTCTAAACTCTACTTGTCAAATGGACCAAAAGAGGAAAAATTCAAGGCACAACTGTACAGGTTTATGGGGAAAGCCATCAATCTTTTGCCACTCTCAGAAAGCTTGTTGATTCATTTGGCTACCAAAATGAGAAGTCATTAACTGCAGTGTCACATACATGTACATGTACTCAGGAGCAGGTAGTTTGCTACATTTGTAATTGTTACCAATTGTGAGTAAAAGGAGCAATTTCAGTTTTGTAAGAAAAAGTATTAATCAATTGGGTGCCATTGCCTGAAAATGGGTGTAGCAGTTGTGGCATCTCTTCCAATTAGCCATAACCTGGCTGACACTAGGTACAGGTTACTTAAATAGTAACTGTTGGAGTAGCTTCAGCTCCATTTTTACTTTTTGTCTTACATTTTTTTCCCAATCTGTGGACAGGGATTCGTTGATCCCGGAGGAGGCTAAGCCCAAGAAGCGATTGAGTGCTAACTACTTGGATGCCATCTTCATGTTTGACGAAGAAAATCTGCAGGTGAGTACCAATAATTCAGAGTCAAATGAGCGCGAAAGATGCGAGTCCAAATGACCCAAGACAGCCATATTGAATTGAGAGCAAGGTTCACATAATCATGGAACCTGAGACGAGAAATAAGAGCAGTGAAATTCCAGTTTATTACAGATTCAATTCAAGTTCATTACAAAGTGTCATGCTTCCTGATAAGTAATTTATAAAAAAAACAGGTTGGATTGATTATTTGCCAATTTTTTTAGCCACAATTTGAGAATGAAATAAAATGAGAGTGAAGCATAGAATCCAAACCGTTTGCATGGTCTGGCACCAACCTCCTTTAACTTACTGCATTGAATAAGACAGCGACTGGGGGGGAACACGAAATGGTTCCCTTGTATACAGTCTTTTTGTCCCAGCTGTCAAAAAAACTTATGCTCTGTGCTAAAATCAGCAAAGAACCAGTGAACACGGTGAAAGAAATACACATTGCTCATCCTCTGACTGGTAACCATTTCTTCATAAGTAGGTGTACAGTATTTGCCATGCTTCATAACTTGTAACAATGCTCGTTCGGTCTATGAACTGGCCTGTAATTTTGCTCCAGCAATTACCAATTGATATTTAAGTTAAAAGAAATAATTTGATAGAGATTCAACACAGGAAAGTCTAGCCACTATCACTTTACATGGTCGCTGAATTTTCCCGTTTTGTAGACTGCACATTGTTGGATTTGAGCAGTTTGAGAAAGCCTTTTTGTAAAATGTTCCGTGTAATCAAACAGGCCTACTTTACACGCAGGATGCTCACGGCTGGACCAAATCCTGGTGGGATAGTCTAGTACCTGTAGATCATGGACTGGTCTGTGACTTCATATAACAAACACTTTTTCAACTCAAACTCTTTGTCAACTTGAAAATGCCTTTTATCAAGATGTGTACAAAGAGAAAAATAATATCACATGCAGTCATTTCATACGTTTTTGCCCAAGTAACTATTTCGATGCCTAAGGTCACACTTCCATGTATATTCTATCCATACAGTGCTTCAATAGGTGAAGGTGATGTGACAATATTACTTTTGCTGTTTGTTTTACACTGTGCACGTTTTTCTTTCCCCCTTTTTTTTTACTTTTTTACGTAAACAGCCTTGGGAATGGAGGGTAATGCTTTGGAAAATTGTTACTTTTGTCCCGTTATGTTTGGTTTTTAATATATTTTGTTTGCCTTTGTTATCTACTAACACTGTAAAATGGTACATCTGAATAGTTAAACCTGAGTTATTAACTTTTGTGAACATTGTGTTTGTTTTAACAAAGTATACATGCCTTCCACTTGCAAACAACATGAACCATGCAATTAAACAGAAAGGCACATTTGAAGTTTTTGCTTCTTGCTTTGGTTTTTGTTTTTCTTAGTTTTCTCCCGTTACCTTTCAAGGTGAGATATTGTTTGGACACAGTGAGTCTCTGTTGGATTGACCAATCAGAGAATGACCAGCAGGTGTATGTTACATTGCTTTAATTCAGATCTTTATCCCAAGGCTTCTCCTACTCACAGGGCACTACTTTTGGGGGGCTCCCAAAATTTCCGTCACAGTAACAGGATTTCAGCTAGAAATTAGAATACTTGCCTGTCCATTCCACCCAGAGTGAAAAACCTGGCTTTTCTCTCCCAGGAAAATTTTGGAAACTTATGGCCCATGGTGCTTTTTACCAGTAATTCACATGGAAATGTGAAAAATTGTTAACCAGTGTTAAAGGTTGATATAAAATTTAGGTCTCTGTGATATTTAATAAGCAAAAAACTGCAGGCTAAGTTTTTTTTTGAGGGAGGGGGTATTTTTTTGGGAGGCGGATTACCTTTCCTCAGAATTGCTAGCTAGATGGGACACTGCCAGCCTGCATGTCTGCATGTAATAAGTGACACCATGATTGTTGTTAAACTAAACACACGTGGACATGATTTTTGGAAATTAGATGATTCCATTTTGTGCTTGCTTTAATTTCACTTTTTTGTTTAGATCAATTTTGTGGGGTTGGTAATTAAAAATGATCATTGATTTTAATCATGAACTTACCTGCACCAACTAAAATCACACATATGCTAAAGAGGGCATCTTTATTGAAATTTAGGTGCATCTTGAAAGACTAACATCTTGAAGGTTATTGTTACGGTGGTTACAATTACAACGGTTAGTTGTTTTAACGTGTTTAATGTGCCAATGTACAGTTGTACATGTAACCAATGGCAAAGGACAACCCCCCCCAAATGTTAGCCTATCCACTTGAGATTGCTGGTTGCCATGGCCTCTCTCTTGGAGAGATGATGACCTGTGATGTTGCTGTTGTCATTACGGATGTCTTTGCACCTGTCTCTTGTTTGCGTGCTTCCTCCCCCCAGTGCTGTTGTTATGCAAATATACCTTAAAGGTGCTGACTGTTGACTGAATGGCTTTAGTCACACAGTACTAGGTGCCATGTTTCTGAATGTCTTTGCTGTGACTGTTCATGCATTATTAAACAGAGTGGTTCCATATTTCTGTGGAAAGCTGTCGAAGAATTTAAGTGCACAGAATTCCACCTCAACGTTTGTGATTCAGTTGACAAAGTTTTTCAGTTTGCTTGTGATGTTAACTAGTGGATATTGTGAAGCAATATAGGAGGTGCCAAAGTGGGTAAAATTCTCTTGAAAATATCGTCAATTTTTAGTGGATCAATAGATACTCGAGTCTGAACTCAAAAAACAAAGAAACAATTGCAGTCCTGAGTGAGGACAACATGGCCCTTGTTCACTGAAATCCTGGCCTGCGCCACATCAAGACACCACTTTAATTGAAGTCAGGGTGTTGCAGTCAGTTCCTTTAAGGTATATAAATTTACACTATGAAATCACAAGTGCTTCCTTTACACGTACTTGAGCACTATTGGAGCGTGCCAGCTGTCCAGTGCAACATGGGCCAGTGAGTGAATAGCAAGCGCCTGTAGATGCCTTGTGACATCCCTGCCCCCTGCCAGTTGTACCCTGTTCAGACTCGCTCCAGCTAACCCATGGCTTCTGCATTTGTTCCCCGTCACCAGCCTACCCCGGAAATGTATCAGAAGGCCTACCAGAGCTACAATAACAAGCTGGTGACAATGACATTCGGGTAAACTGTAGTTGGCTTAGTTTGAGTTGTTTTTCAAATAGTTTTTAATCCTAATGTGAACATTGCCTGTTAGAGAGAAAGAGGTGTTCAATGCTCGCCTGTGCACACTTCCACATGACGTCTCGATGTTGAAGTGCTGCGCGCAGTTCTGAGTCTGACGACAGTCTTTTCTGCCAGCTGCTGTTTCATGAAGTACCAGTAGATTGTGTAGACTCTCTCAGTGAATACAGTCAGTTTATAATTAATAGTGCTTCAAGTTTTTCTGCGAGTTTGGTGGGATGATGGTCGTACCTTAATAAAAACAAACTTTTGCTTATCCACAACAATGCGTCGCTGGTGGTGTGGTCTGACAGACATCACCGGTAGTAGTTTCATTTGTTGGTCAGTTGTTCGGGGGAATGTTGGTGAGGCATTGTTTCACAGCAGTTGCTTTTAGCCCTGCTAATGGCCGTCACATCAAAAACACGTTCTGCTTCGGGAATGTCAAAAACATGCACCCCTGATTCGGGAATATTTTTAAGCTGTCGGGGGGTACTTTACAGCCCAACTGCAATTAACTTCATGTGAGGATCCCAACCTGCCAGTTCCATTTTCAGGTACCCCAAAATAGATTTTGCCGGATTCAAAAGAGCCCCTGACAGCATGGGCAATTTTCTGTTATACATTCTAAATACATTTTGACCACGTACCTTGCTGAGCAGACCCCGCGTTTCTTGCCTAATCGTAACCCACACAGTGCCTGGCTCCTGTACCACGAGAGGAAGAAGCGGCGGCGGCTGATGATGGCCCGCAAGATGGTGCAGGCAGCCGAGTACTACGACCTGCGCCGGCAGCGGGTGCACCTGCAGCACTGGGTCAAGTGGTTCCGCTTCCGACGAGAGCGACAAGAGAGTAAGCATTTGAGCACCATTGCATCCATCATCATTTACTTCCGTGATGCCCCTGTGTACTTGAGTTCAGTCACTTGACTTCCTGCAGGTTCAGCTGGCTCTGTGATTTGATGGGGCTGAGTCGTTTCTCCCAAACCGTACTGAAAGTCAGCTTGTTACAAGGGGAGGAGGGCTTGGTTTAGCACTAAAGGCTGTGTTGAGCAGCTAATGTCAATCTGTAGAAATACAGGTGATTCGTCGCGGCTTTGCAAGCAGTTGCAGTTCAATGCAAGTCCTGTAGCGTACAGTTGGACATTTTTCAGCTTGGCCTTTTTATCCAAAATAGCCAGGTCCCTACACATTTAGTCCTCTCTCTTTAAAGTGCAGGCCGGTCTGCGACAAAAGGCAGGGGGATGGCCCAAAATTAAAGGGAAACCCCAAAATACAAGTGGGTTATATATTCGCTCAACTGGTTGACAATTTACATCTTCAAGGCATTTCCATATCCATGTTACAAAGACAAACACACGGAAAAGATGACAAACCTAAACACAAAATTGAGAAGGGGGTGTACTGAGTGCTTCCCCTCCCCCTGGATCCACCGTTGATCTAGGTGCCGAGGGTTTGATTTAATTTAGCCCGACAGCCCCGCATTGTATTTCAACATGTATGTCAGACTTCGGGAAGATCAATTGATTTCCAGTTGCTCTGTCTAGCTTTAACCTTTGTGCTTCTCACCGCTAGGTGCATATAACATCATCATAAACGTGTACAACATGTCGCTGTCTCGTCTCGTCTTTGAAGCGTGGCACAACGTGATGCTGGAGGCAAGGCGCACTAGGGAGTACTTTGAGGTACGTACTCCACAACAGGAGATCCTCGGCTCGTGAAATCTGAGGACGTTTTCGTGCAACATTACAAGTCATGCAGGGAAGGAATGAAAAATCAAAAGTCAGTTATACTTTTGACGATTGCCTTATTTTTACGTTTGGATCAGAGGTTAGAACGAGGGGAAATGGATGGCGAGGACGAGACCCTGTTTCCGAGAGGCGAAGCAAGGGATGACATCTCCCTCCTTCCCAGGAAACTTGCCATCAAGGTCAGTGAATTAAGGTTGAGGGATGACATCAGGACTTCCTGCAGTGTCTTGGGGGTCAAAGCATGTTGGGTTTGGGCCGGCGAGGAATGGGGTTAGGCTTGACCTGGGCCCGGCAGACTGAGTTGCTGAGGCCAGCTGTTGTGGTTACTTGGTAAATTGAGCACTTACATGTACATGTAGGTTGGAGATCATGACCTAGTCCAGTTTTAGGTCTTGTTATCTTACAAGTGTAGTTTTTATGGGTGATTGTCATTAATGTCTTTGACGCAAAACAAGTATATAAGTAAAAATGGAATGGTTCTCTCTAGGACATACATGTAGGGATCTCAAAAAGTCAACGTGGAACTTATTCCTTACTCCAGTGTGCTTGGGTCACGTTTGTTTGTGTCATTCTGCATGACAGATTTTCAGCTATCTTGACCTGGCTGACGTTAGCCGGTGCGCTCAAGTGTGTCGGCAGTGGAAAATGATCACAGGCACCAGCTCCTTGTGGAGCAGGGTAAGTAAAAATCCCTTCACAGTCATTGGAAACTTCGCTTGCCTATGGGCAAGGTTTTTCTTGAAAAAGACTTGATGAAACCCTTGATCTGATTGAGTTACATTGTTTTCTGGCGTGGTTCGTTTTGTGTCTTGCAGGTCAATTTGTCCTCCATCAAGAACAGGTAAGTTCTTGTCAATAGTTTTCTAACTCTCTTGTGATTTCATTATCATTTCGATTCCCTGTTTGTCAGTACTGTTTATGATGGAGCTCACCAAAGTCCAGAATTTTTCAAACCTTTAACTGTATAATTTTATACCAACATTCTGTGAAAATGTTTGTTTCCTGGCATCATCATTGTGTGATTTGCATTTTAAAATCCTCTGAGATCTTGTTCTAGTTGGAAAATGTGTCAACTGTTTTTTCATTTTACATCCTTACACACCACACCGTAGGGATGAAAGAAAATTCTTGATCACCCAGACAGCTTGGAATTTGAGAAAGAATGGTGGTTACTTGTTGCATTCATTAAAAAGAATCAAGGCCGTGTTTCTAAAGGACGTATTTCTCTTTTGATTTTTCGGTGGTTTTGTTTTGATGGTGCACATTGATTTGGACAGAGTGACTGATCGCTTTGTATGCAAGCTCCTTCAGACTTGTAGGCCCTACCTGCTTCACCTCAACCTGCGGGGGTGCAGCCGACTGACCAAGCCAAGCTATGTCGCTATAGGTGAGACATTTAGGGATTACGGTATAAGACTTTGTACAATCCACCATTGGTATTGGAGTACTGACTTACTTGGTGGGCCACCTACATGTACTTTATATGTTAAATGTGACTGAGTTCGAACCGATTTTTGCTTGGCAACAACGCTTTAAATAGTGCCTAAATCCAGTCGCCATTTGCGACTTCAAATAGCTTAAATACTACATACAAATGTATTTGAACAATTTTGAGTGTGCTTAAAAATCAAAAAAGCAATGATTATGTACTCAAAGTTCGTTCCGGAAAAGTAGAAATGGCAGTGCAAGTTGCATCGAGTCGCACCGAATGTGCTGTACATGTACATATTCCATACTTTACATGTACATGTGTCGCAACCATGTGCACGGTTTGGTTGGTTCCCGATCTGAACATACGTTGTTGATGCACTGTATATGGACACCAGGGCCATTTTACAAACCATGGCATGCT